CTTTTCGAACTATGGATATCCTATGGCGAGAATACTAATCGACATAACGGCGGGTAGGGCTCATATCTCATTTGTGGGAGTCGCTTTGACGCAACGCCGGGTGGTGTGTTGGTCGGGGCTCACTTGTGGGTGCAGCTCGGGGAGCAGGGGGCCCGGGGGCCCGGGCATGTGCGCCTACGACGCCGGGGAGAAGCACGGTTGTTGATTCTTTCGGCGATAGCTTTGAAAGCGTCTACCAGCCCTTTGGGAGTGGGATGGTAAATATCATCCTCTTCAGGGTCGGCAATCTCGACCTAAGCGAGTGTCTTTGTTCCGATTCTCATCATAGAGAAGAAAATGACTTGAAAAAGAGGGTTCATGACTGTGGGGTTGTGCTTGAAGTGAACAGGGTCGAACGTTTTAATCCAAGGTCTTTCCTCCGAATTAGGGATTATAAACAAGGGCCCGATATCTGCTCACCCGGGCAGGTGCGATGTACCTCAGCGCTGAGAACTATTGCACAAGGTTGGTAGATTCATGTAGCACTAAACTTATAAAACCGAGGTGAAAATGAAAACACCATGGTTCCATCGAACAGAGCCACATTAACCGACAAGGAAAATTTCGGAATCAAGTTCGACAGATTTGGGCTCAATCATTGACGGTACTACGACCGGTGATATTGTTTTACCACTCATGCAGTGCCCCCGTTGATCTTTTTCTTCTTCTTTCAACCATTTTATCCCCAAAAGCACCGGGCGCAACTCGTTAGAGACAACCCGTTCTGTTAAATATCCCGAAAAGGTACGTTAGTGGGGGCGAGGAAGCTAGTGCTTACCTCCAGACTTGATCTGCATTAGTGGATTAGTTAGTGCCCGAGTCTGCCTAGAGAGGCTAGGACCTGACCGACGACTTCTTGAATTTTCTTTCATCGCCGCCTAGAACCCCGTCATCCTACTATTGACCTCATGTCGCGAATCACTGAAGAAACACCGCTGCTACCTGACTCTACGGCAGATGGATCCGGGTCCTTGGGCGATGAACCAGATACCGACGCCGTGGAAAGACATCAACGACGATGCACCAGAGCCATATTTATTCTGACATGGCATTCGGTACTGCTGGCGGTCTTCCTGCTTGTTTCCAATGCAATTATGGTAGCCATATATTATGCCCGAACTGGTGAACTGGCGCCTTGGGAACGACAGCTTGCTCTAGCTGGTCTCATGTGTGCGGTATGTTTTGATGCCACACACACAGCCACTCCTTGTCGGAATGATAGGCCACTAACTATAAAAACAGCTCCTGGTGACTGGACTGATCTCCTTCTTTAACTTGGCTCGCTTATATCTGTGGAACCGACCTATGTGGCTATGGCTGAACCTGATCCTGGACCTCGCAATCGCCTTCTACTCAATCGGTACTGGCTCGCAGGGCCTCGGCAACTACGGATGGGGCTCATCTGATCCCTTATGGTTCATCCGTATCAATTGGGTCATATCCTTGTTGGCTGTAATAATCGGGTCAGTCACTCTGGGAAACTTACCTCTGCTCTTATTCTGGATGCAAATTAACCCTCGCTTCACACCTAGGCTGATTCACCTGACCTTGTTCCTTGTGAGATGCTTTCTGTCATTCAGCTACCCACCTTGGCGGGGATATCGCAATTGGAAATTCCCCACTGGACGCCTTAGCGTTGAGTTCAAGGTTGAATTCACTCGGCAAGCGGAGGACCCCGAGGCGTTGTTAGATGCCACTGCTTCAGGCACTGGAATCCAGGCAGAGGCAGTGGCGCAGGAGTGAAGGGGACGGCTATTTGATGTACACCAGTTAAATTATGACCTGAAGCTGGTTATTGAGCAAGCGAGAGGCGGTGGCATTCAAGAATATCTGATACATATCTCACTTGGCTGGATTTTGATTCTCCGGGGCTCAGAAACATTCGAGGCGAGGGAGATGCACTCTGGCCAACTCTCTAAGCTGGGACTGGGAAATCACAGAAGCGATCTCTGCGATGTCTCGGGAGACAATCTCATACACCTCGTCATCCATACGCTCCCAGAGATAGAACTTATGGCCGGACCGAAAGATTGTTACATATCCTTGATCATCTTCCATCACTGGCTGTCCCGGTTCGAGGCCATAGCATCGGGCAATGGTCTGGCCTTCTGAAAAGATGCCCTCCCACTCTTTGTGATAGATAGGGCTTGATGGGGTTGAATTCCAGCCAGGGGGAACGGTAAACTGGGAATTGTCAGGAAACTAACCCAATAAGATGACTCGATCCGAACTCACTGGCATGACAAAGCTGTTTGCAGGTGACTTCGCGGGTTACTATGTCACAAGTGGTGGGGTAGAGATTTCGAGGGGAGGCATTATGGTAGTAGTCTGCAAGGCTTCAGAAATCAAGAGTCAGGAATGTCAGCGGAGGAATAACCTCCACCCGTGGACCAAGTGTAGGCTTGACGCAATCATTGGTGGATCCTGCCAGCTCTTACCCCACGAAAGGAAATAATTACCCTGGAAGGTGGTGAGGCTTGCCATTCTGCCACTGCCGCTCTTGTCGTGTTTTTGACAACATCGAGCTTCTCTGCGATTTTCCTCACACCTTAATCCAAATCATGGCGGCCGCTTCCTCTGAGAAGTCTTACAGGCTCAAACTCGTGGGAGAGGGACCATCGGAGCAGATTCTCAATGCCTTTAATGAGATACTCGACTTGAGGAAGGTCTACACCTGGGATCGGCAGCAGGTAAACATGACTTTACCATGCTCCTTACCTTGGATTTTTTTGCTGTTTATGGCCTGTTCTGACCAGCCGATCGATAGATCTTGAAGTTCCTTCATCATGCTGTGGGCAAGGGATACCTTTACGATATCCAGAATTGCCAGGCAAGATCCCGCTTCCAGGACCCGACTAATAATCCTCAGCCTACGTGGAATCCACGATGGAAGCCGTTGTATACACATACCATAGTGCAACGGTTAATATTGCTACGAGCACATCCTAAAGTCGGCACAGGTCGAACGCCTGAATCTAAGGCTGGTCCGGGCATCGCAATTCATCCAAACGTTCCGTATCAAAGTCTACCACCGCACAGGAAAATCTAATAAGATCGCCGATGCGCTCTCCAGGCTGCGAACCGCGGAAGATTCAGACCCTCCCGGCGACACAAACTTATGCAGAGGGGAAATAGCGTTACAAGTCGGTGCGGTGCAGGCAAATTTCGTGGACACCATCTATGACTACGAATCTCATAATACCGCAATCGCACAGCCGGTCACAGCGGTACATCTCAGCGACGAGGTCGATGAGTTTCTGAACGGACTGACATATTTTCAACAATACCTTCAACACATCGGACACGAGGAGCCAACCGGTCAAGAGCGTGTGAATATGTTACTCCCAATGGGGGCTTTCACGCACGTGTGGATAAACCACCGCGAACTGTCGAACGTTCTTGACTCTCCTGGTGAGAGTCAAGAATCCGAGTCTATCCGTATGAAGCTTCGGAGCTCGACCAAAAGCACCGGGAGCTCTACGCACAAAAGAGAAACGTCCGTCGACACAACTACAACGGGAACTGGAACAAGCCCGGCAGTGACCGACGTAAGTGTTGCTGGGGACAGCGCTTTCCCCCCTCCACGAACACAAGACGAGCAAACAGTCAACGAGTTCCTACTTCCTGCGAGATTTGAAACAGGGGTATGAAACAGACGACCACTGGAAACGGATGATCCAGGTGATCGAACGGAACGATTCATTGAACAGCGAAGACCGAGCTGTCTTGCCATTCATTCTCGAGGATGGTCTGCTGTGGTCGACGGTCGACGGACGTCGGCTATGTATTACCGCGACACTGGAACAAGCCGTCCTCCGGCTAGTGCACGACGACCAGAATCATGCGGGAGTCGAGCGTTGCTGGCAAAGGCTCAAGGGTGTTTGCATTCATAAGGGATACAAAAAGCTACGGACGTATATCCAACACTGTCCGCCATGCCTGGAAAACCAGACAAGGAGACACCGACCACACGGATCGCTGCAGCCGATTACGGCACCAGACGTGCCGTTCCACACGATCACGATGGATTTTGTCATCGGTAGGGAATCCTGGACCATATCGAGAGGCTCTGGTGCGAGACCAGAAAACACTACCTCGCACGTTGAAGGATTTTGTTGAGCCTATATGGCGGCGAGAGAGAAGAAGAAGCGGACAGAACCGATTGTATTCATTCCCTGGAGAGAGAGAGAGAGAGAGACAGAGGGAGAGAAGGGAGAAGCGGGGGGCGGATCTATCTACAAACGAGGGTTGGGACGAAATCCCTACACAAAAATTATCGCTAGCGACTGGGCCATTGGAAACGGTGGTTAAGAGAGCACTGTTCTCGCTGATAAACGATTCGGCGATGGCCAGAAGTGGCTATACTATGACGGACTGTCCGGTGAGAAGAGGAAGCGGAACATGCATCAATTTCGGAAAATGTGCTGAAGTTTATCCCTTCGTACACCTACTACAGTAAGTTTCCCTCCAAACATTTCTATCTATTAGCTAGTCCGCGGGCCAAGAGTCCATATTGACCAGACAGACGTGCGAAGAATCCTGCTAGCGTTCATGGGGTTACTCTCCAACACCGCGGAGTTGCACCTGCCCCGGGGCCGTATGCGAAGATTACTTGAGCGGGAGTATCTGGGAGAATGTAAGACCACTGTGTGCGAATTGTCGAGAGTTGGCCAAGATGTAGAGTGGGTGCGTCGCCAACTTTGAACTTTGATCCGTTGGCCGACTCATACGGCGCACCTCTGTAATCGCAAGCAAAGTGGAGGACGAATACTGTATTTATAATTGAAGGCGCAACAAGTTTCTATAGCGCCCCATACGCCACTCCTCGGTAGGCTCAATCAAGACGGCTTCTCTAAACCCCGAGGTATGTCTGAACAATTCAATGCCAACTGTTGAAATATAGAACTAGGACCTTAAACAATAACTCAAGATAATAACGTAGAGACCACACCACCAACTCTTCAACGGCTGTTCGAAAATTGCATTTCCCAGCCCCGCTCAGCAATACTCTTTAGCCATTCATTGCCAATGATCACGTCGGTCTCTCGTGGTGTTTCGGGGTCTCGTAGGAAAAGGAGACGAAAAGGGATAAGGAGGGGACCTCCAGAAAGTTTTACTTCATCGTTCTCGTTCTCAGAAACCTCAATGTGTTGGGAATTAGTGGATTTGCCGTTAGCAGTATCCCATATCCATGAGTCAATGGTGATGATTGCTCGCCGGCTGAGTTTGATTGCAATCACCACATTGGCATTCCCTCGCAATGGGTCAAGCCAAAGGTCGACATCTTGGAGGATTTTTTTTTTGGTCTCCGATACAGCAACTTCCAACACAACCGAGGGCCTCTTTGGACAGCCGGGAGGAGGTCGCCTTGGTCCCCAGCCCATGTCTGCTTGTTTGTTGCGGCCATTTACATCGATATCGACTGCTGAGTACTGGTTTATGGCACCGTCTAGTCCCATTCGTAACAGGGCCCTATCGATGGCTTTGTGCACCTCGAAGGCAACTCCGGTATGCTCGCCAGTAACCATCTTGACAATGAGTGTTTTGGTATCCGGGTTGTAGGAGGTTCGGATTGATAGATTTGGGATAGTATCAAAGCTGAGGAAATCCTGGTTGAAAGTAGTGGGATCAATGGAGAAGATGATGTACTCCGTGATCTCAGTAGTTGACTCTTGTTCGCTCCTACCAGATCCAGTATCGATGTCGGAAATCTCACGAGAAGAGCGCATTGAATCGAGCAGACGTTCACGTTCAATGGTAAGTATTTGAGCAAATTGATCTTTGTCTTTGTAGTCGTACCGTCTAACAGATGGAGGTAGACCCTCAGAATCATGATCTTGCCCATTTTGATTAATATGGGACATTTTCGATGATATTGTGGTTCCCAGAGAATGTGTCAAGATAAATCCCAGAAATTTGCCTAGAAATAAATTCTCTGAACTTTCACTCTCTTCTTAGCGTAGGTCAAGCACTTTATATAATATTGCGGGACATTTGAGTTTCACCTTTCCACGTTTCTCTCACAGATCGCCAAGAAAAGTAGCTGTAAAACTGACAGAATAAAATCAATCGACGTTATATTAGCAGACCCGAACCAGAATACGGATCTTAGTTTCTCTAAAGAGCCCTAGAGAATCACCAAATGTGTTCCGATCGGGATGGAGATGTCGGGGTCGAGAAACTTTTGCACCCAAGTGTCGGCAATTTCCTCGCTTTTTTCACAGGCGGCATCATCGTAACACATACGCGGCTGCATGTTGAGAGGTTGGAAGGGATGGGAGGTTACAAGAGAGGTTAGGTGATAGTAATAAATAGATAAACAGTGGAATAGGGGCGGGCAATCTTAATAATTCTAGGCCCTTAGATGTGGGAAGGGGGCGAGAAAAAGAAAATGAGCGTTGGAGGGCCGGTCAAATGGTGGTCTATATAGAACCACGCACGACGAGGCACAAATCCAAGTGCGCTAAGCCAAAAGGCTCATGTAGCCGAATAACGTCGTGCTCATCATTCAATATCCGATATGGTGTAGTGGCTAACATCGTCGTCTCTCACACGACAGCCGGGGGTTCGATTCCCCCTATCGGAGTTTCTTTTTTTTGTTTTCCTCCCTCTTTAGCCGTTGCTGGTCCCCATTTTTGAAAACCATTGGTTTTTTAGAAGAAAGCATAAAGGTGGAAACAAGTCACAAGGGAAATCCCGTCATAAGTCTATATGGTATGCAGAAATATTGTAAGACATAACAAATGTTTCACAGCCATCGGTACCTTAGGGTTAAGGTATCAATGTCAACAATCACTGTTTCCCTGCCGCAAATGTCTATTCTAATCTAGGGAGGTTCATAAGTAACAAAGGCGGTACGAAAAACTTGGGGCGGGATGATCCATTATGGTATGTAGAACTGCCCAGCCCGCCAAGCTTGAAGCCAGGGCCCTATGAGTCATTGCATCACCCCTGGGCAGATGAGGCTCTCTGCCTGATTATACGAGGTGACTGGCTTTGAGTCAGAATAGCCATGAGCACATGAGGTCCGAACTCACAATGTCGCAACAATTCTCACAGATACCAGAGCATGAAATCCATTGATAAACAAGTGTAATTCCTCGTAGATCTAGATCATAACCTCGATTAAGTAGTCCAAAGGGCTCCGCGTCGTACCTCTTTCCCTGGGTGTTAAAACAATCCAACCAACCAACCAACCAACCAACCTCGATTAAGTGCATTGATATTCCGAAAATATGGCGTCTGAGTCTCTTGAAGAAATCAACCTGGTGAATAAAGAGATGACGGAAGAAACAGCTTCGGATCTTCTCCAGGTTTCAAGCCCGAAGCGACACGCCCGTACTCCTTCGCCAGAGTTCGACCCTAAAGCTGGCGAAAACAGACTACGCCCCGCGGCAGGTATGTGAAATGACTTCCCACAATGAAGCGGGATCTAACCGCACCAGATATCATCAATCGCATTACGTGGGACCCTGAGTTCGAGCGCGATGAATATGTGATCGGCTTTGTGGATAGATTTGAAGGGCAGTTGGAAGTGAGCATGAACAGCTGGAAGAAGGAGACCACCGATGAAGAGTTTATCCCTCAACACCGAGTACTATACATTCGACGCATCAACGGGGATATTGTGTGGGACCGAAGAAGACGAATTGACAAGATCTTCCTCAGTGGAAACTCGGCGTTCGTCGAGTTGGCCTTTCTTTCCTGACATGGGCACTTTCCCTTTCTTTCTTCTGTCCCCTCTACATCCATCTCTCATCTCCATATTGTTTTCTCCTCTACAAATACATCATGGATTTGAAAGCCAAAACATCTTTGCCTCGTTTGACGACCAATTTCCCTCTCTTTGAGAAACCACACAATGCGTCGATGCAGAATTTGGTTGTCCCCGAGAGACCCACGAGGGACTTAACCTTCTTGGAGGAGGAAATACACAAGGAGAACATTGCACCAATCGCACGGCCAGAAATTAAACCCGCCTTCAAGACTCGGAAAGACATGGAGGATCCCTTGGCAGCGAAGATGAAGGTGTACTATGGTGATATCTTTGCAACGCGTGAATCACATAACTCACCAAAGGATCGTGTCACCTTTGAGTCTGTGGTTGTGGCTGAGCTCAAGACCAATACCCAAGTTCGTGGCGTTGCCTTTTGAACGTACTGGTCCTTCGCACTGACACATCACCACTAGGTAAAAGGGGATGCATCCAGAGCACTTTCTGAGTTTTCCCACGCCCTCGCAGAGATATACCAGCGGCCAGAGACTTCCATGCTAGTGGTCATCGACCAAAACGCCGATCTGCTCTTCGGGATCACCACTGGCCCTGCGTACCTATTGAAAGTGGCCGCCCTCGCCAGTATGATCGCGCCTCTCACCAACCTTCGAAACACAAGCCTCGTACAATCGAGCATCCAGGATATCTTCGACATTCCACCCGAAAATGGAGTCATTATCTTCAATCCACTGAGTGAAGACAACCTTGCAACAAATGGGGTAACCGCTAGGGAGGTAATCAATCGTTTGGAACGAAGTGATCAAAGCCCTTCGTTCTTCAGGTCAATCTCACGATCTATGAGCCGCCACCTGAAGTCAAGCGGTGAAAACAGTGCACCACTCACGCTCAGCCCGGCTATGGGTCCCGATGCCGCAAACACGGCTCCTCGCTCTCCTATCACCTCCCCATCGACCGATGTTTCTCCGTTCAGATTAGACTCCCCGGGTGCTATCGAGCTAGCAGATCCAGTGAATTCGCGATCTCCGGCAGAAGAATCATCTGGGGGAAATTCTCCCAAGCGAACATTGTCCAAGGAAGAAAAGGCTGATCGACCGATGAGAAGGAGGGAAAGCCTGAGAAGCTTTGTCACCCGTCGCTTGATGGAATTTGGCGAAGTCACCCCGTTTGGAAGTCCGAAGTCTCCTGTCAAAGGGAACAAAGAATGATGTCTGTATTACCATTGTACCAAGATGAGCATGGCATTTGAAGTTGTACGTCTATGGTGTGCACAGTCTATTATTAATTGACACCTTGCGATTCTCTGATCTACCTACTAGTCCTACCACGGCCTCTTAACCATTACATGTCAGAGAAAATTAGAGCTCAACTGCCGAGGCTCTGTGGTAATTTTTGCTAGCGCTGGATCTCACGTAGTCATGAGACTGGCCGAAGCTTTCATGACTTGAGAAAGCCAATAAAGAGTAAAAGGGACTTGATTGAAGCCACCCCCGAACTATGGGGACTTTCCTTGAATTTAATAGCAAATATGCAAGCGTCCAATTACCAGTTTCTCTAGATCTGCGAAGTTGATTGTATGTATACCTGGATTTTAGTCACCAAGGTGCCATTCCGTTCATATTTAACCTACCCTTTGGACATACCGTTTGTATCAAATCTAATCTGGACACAAAAAGAGGTATACTGAAGCTGTTTGGACTGTTTAAGATCAAATTTTACGCTATGCCAGGTAGGGTCGATTGTAGCTAGTTGGATGTTTGATCATGCCTGAGCCCCAGCTCTTGAACAATTTTCCTTCTACTTTGTTTTTCCTTTCTGTTGTCATTTCGTTTTCCAAATTTGTGCTCAAGCTCGCAACTTTCACTTTACATTTACATCTCTGCCTCCAGAGTGTTTTTTGCCTCCCCTAAAACCTCGTCACTGACATTTCCGATAGTTGGAGCTTGACCAAGATGGCCGAGGGCACCCCCGATGATACCGGATATCTGCACATGCCTGTGCTCGCGATAAACCATTTCAACTGTGTCCACGAATCCCCTGCGGACCTTTTTGCGGCGCCCAATGGCTCAGCCTTGATCCGTATGGAATATTTCTCCGCTATGCCAAACCTCTCATTTCATTTTACTGATTCTATTGCGTCAGATGCTTGCAACTGCATGGGACGATGGGGTAGTGGTATTGCTACTGTCTTTCGTGATAATGTGAGTGGGTTATTTCTCTCGCCATGAAATATGTGCCAGGCTGATCATCAAACGATTGGGCAGTACCCGGCAGCATTTGACATCTACGCCAGGAACTGTCGCTACTACAATAACAATATCCGGGAACACATGATCGAAGATATCCGGTTGGGGAATTTGAGCCAAGAGCACCCCATGCGACTAGTCCGTCAGCCGCTGGGAACTGCTCTCGTCATCCCACCTCAGAATACCGATATTGAAATTCATGGCCGCCGTCACTGGGTCGTTTGTCTTTTTGTCTCTCGCTGGTACGGTTCCCGTCGTGACTCTCAGGCGGATATTCGAAACTACGCCTACGCTGCGCTGCGAGATCTTGCCCAACAGATCACCGAGCTACGGATTATCGCTGATGAAGACAGTGAATGGCCCCGTTTTCTTTTCTCCAACCAATTCTGCTCTGGCTTGTTTCGTGTGCCCTGGGAAGAGACCCGCCAGCTGATCAACGAAGTCGGGCTACATATTACTGTGTGCACCAACTCCGAGCAACGTCGTGCTACTCAACGCCACTCCCGAGATCGCACTATCCGTCGCCCAAGTCGCTTTGACTTAAATGAGGCGTTCGGTCGTGAACGGTGAGCATTGGGATTACGAGCTCTCGGCAGGTTGTTGGGTGCTCTCGTGGTGGTGGTGAGATGTCACTTTGACCAGAGTGAGCACGCTATCTTTTCTGTTTTCCTCGTAGTGCGGCTCTCATAAGTAAGTGTTAGGGGATTGGTTTACTTCTCAGATATTGCAGGCAGCGTGGTTCACACACAATTCAAAATTGCTGATAGTGTCATCGAGAATTTCAAGCACGTAAGGAAATGTCATACAATTGATTCACTAGTTCAAGTTATGCTCCAATGTATATTTGCCATATTATCTTTCGACGTACGGTCATTGATCAGGGCATCGTCAATCACCTGATAGCGCGTGTTAGTGCAGATCGCGCCCGCGTTGGAGAACCCTCGATTTCTCCGCCAACATGCTACGCTCTTGTTATCCACGGAGCTGAACCTTTCTCGCGGCTTTTGAAGATTCTAAACCCTCACCAAAATGCCAGGTGAGCCCAAGCCAGCACAAAAGCGCCCGCGCCTCCCTTTCAAGCCTCCAAGCCGTACTACCAGCGCGGGACCGTCTGAGGCACCGAAGGCCAAAAGCAAACCGAAACAGACAGGCACAAAGGCTTCGGCGTCGAACGCGGCACCCAGTACAACGAAAAATACACAATCCAAGGCTACAAAGTCTACCACTACAAAAAGACCCCGCGTTGAATCTCCAGCTCCCGATGAAGCACAATCCGGATCTGAGTCCGCCTCGGATGCGTCAGGCCGCGATCGCTCGCGATCACTTTCCCAGGAGCCGGACTTTATCCTTGCCGAAATCACTACGACCAACCCAGTGGAGGACGTGAACTCCAGCGATCCGAAAATCCCTCCGAAGCTGTTGACACGGCTGCTGCATGAACACTTTCAGAATGACAAGACGAAAGTCGCGAAAGATGCTAATAATGTTGTGGCGAAATACGTTGATGTCTTTGTGAGGGAAGCTATCGCTCGAGCTGCCTTTGAGAGAGCTGAGACAAACGATAATGCTGCAAGCAGAAGGGTTGGGGATGGATTCCTTGAGGTAGGGCATGATCGGATTCTAAAAAGGCGGCATGGGGCTATACTGATCGGTGACACAGGTTGAGGATCTCGAAAAGATGGCACCACAGCTTACGATGGACTTCTAGCGTTCGGGTGCTCGGTATACGGTGTTTGGTTCTGATTCATGTCTTGGGGCCATTATTATTTTTTTTTAAGATACCACAGCAAAAGCATACAACATTTTCATGACAAACAAGCCGCTCGGAAAAGCGCAACATCCCTTGGGTTCACGTACTCAGGCTTCCCAACGGTATGATCCTCCACAAAAGGTGGCACTCCCCCGAAGCCATTGGCGTTGTGAAAGAGGGCGATATCCCTATTGACTCTCTTCGACAGCCACGCATTGGCCCAATATGCTGTGTTCTTCTTGCTCAAATGGACTACCACCACCGGCAGCCGGTTTTGCTCTGGCAAATGGCCGAGTTTGGCATCATAGGCTGTGTGGCCAATATCGAAGACGAAGAATACCCTTGTTCGCCATTTCTGGGCTGCAACTAGTCTCGTTGTCGGGTGTGTCTCTCGTGGGACATAGAGTTGTGTTGATTTGAGAAGGCGGATGGCTTTGGGAAGCAGGGCTTCTGGGTTGCTCTGGGCTTTGGACATTCGAGAGCTTCGGTGTGAGACAATCACTAGAACTCTCAGGGGACTCTCTTGAGACATCGTGGACTATGACTGTGAGTGAGTCACCAACTTTTCATGGACATGAGTGTTTCTCACCGGTCCAGGAAATTATGGTGCTAGAATGTTCTCCACGCCGGCTTTGACTTGCCTCTCTGGCTTTCTGGATTCTTTACGTGAATTCATAACGTCGAGCAGAGGCTCCTTATATAATTTTTCCCCTACGTTTGCGGCACATGGGGCAAAGTTCGGTGTCCTACACGGGCCTAATGGCAACCTTCCAATAGCCCGAAAGTCTGGTCGTTCGAACCTAAACACCCATGAGGGGATGGTCATATTACATAGTCCAGGTCTGAATGTACGCTGACAACCAGAGACTCGGGCTCCAGCTGAAGCCACGCTAGGTACCTTGTGACTGGGATGCCACTCATATGCTAGTCAGGAATCAAATCCCGTATACCAGAAAAGAGCGATTTTCGGAGATTGATATGTGCACACCTGAATTAAAATGCTAAATGAAAGGCGAGGATGATGTTTAGTGAACAGACGAAGGGACAGGAATGTATAGTTCGGAAGGCGGTGGGTCATGGATTTTCCCCCCGTGTTTTGCCTCTTCGACGCGTCAAGTCCCGCCATACAATTCATTTTCGCGATGAACGATGCGACGACCTCCTTGCTCACTGAGCACTTCAGCTATACTCCCTTGGTGAGTTTCCTGTGATCGCCGCCCGTGCAGCGCGCGACTCCTTGCCGCCAATTACATGCTGACAAGTCCCAGTCTCTCATAGATGACATTATTAACTCGATAAACAACCTGATCTACCAGGCCATATCGAGCTTGGAATCCGGGCTGCTCAACACGCCGCCCGAGCGCCTTGGTTTCTCCCATGCCAACAATGGTATCACAATCCCGGAAACGGACGATGATGGCAATGTGCTATATCCCGAAGCGAAGCTAGAGATCGAAAACGGGTTGCATCAGCTGGAGACGCTGCTTGAGACGAATGTTGACAAAGCTTTCGACAAGTTTGAGATCTATGTCCTGCGAAACATCCTCACTGTGCCGGAAGATCTGCTCGGATATGTGCGCTTAAAACATTACGAGGTATGTGGGTCCCTTGATTCTCGGAGCACCGACGCATCCTTCGGGGTGATCTGAGGCCTAGCGAAAACCTGGATGCTGATTCGCGACGATTGAAGGGTCTGTCATTCAAATCATCAGCAGATACGCCCACGCCCGAAACCATTCATGCGCAGCGCAAGAAGCTATTCGAGACGAAGAAGCTGAACCGGTCGTTGAAAGAAGAGAGCGCCCGAAACGATGCGGTCATTTCTCAACTGAAGTCTATACTTTCTACGGTTCAAACAGCTAAGGTCGAAGACGCGGCCGCGACACCAAGCAAGCCACTTGATTTGTCCTTCCTGACCTCCGGTGCAGCTGCGCGCCAGCTTCGAGTCGGCGTGGATACCGGGTCAAATGCCAAACATACACCTCTGACTACACATACGACCTTTATCCTCTCGCAACTGCCCGCGTTGCAGGCCACACTTGAGAAACTTCGTCCGAAGCTGGCGGCTTTACCTGAGTCGATGATCCCAATGGAAACTAAGTCAAAGAGAGACGAGAGGAAGGAGTACATTGAGGGCCGAATCAGACTACACCTCGAGCGAGCTGGTCAGCTTGCCACTGGCGATGACGGAAATCCTGTCGTCGCAGGTCGCAGGATTGATATCAAAGAGGCACATGCTCTGGAAAGCGTGGCCAATATGCTTGCACAGAAAGAGAACGTGTAAACTGGGTGTGCATGTCGAAAATGGTTGGCTCTACAACTTTTATTATTTGATATGTGCTGGTCTATTTTTAAGACCAAGAGACACTCCATGTCTCCTGAGTCTTTCGGAAGGGAACCACGTCGATCTTGTCGGACTGCAGAATCTCGGAGATCTTCTCGCCCTTGCGTTCGATGGTGATGAATTCCTTCTTCTCCTCTGGCAGGCCATAGAAGGCGCGTCCAAACTTGCTCATGAAACCCTCAACGAGTTCTGGCGTGATGTCTTCATCCTTGAGGACACCGTTGTCGACTGCCTGCTCGAAAGCATCAACCACAACCTGGGTAGTGTACGGCTGAGTGAAGACACCAGCAGCGATCTTCTCACCGCCGCGCTTGGAGGCTGCGGGGTGGGGCGCGCTGTCGGAACCGAAGAAGAACTTGGGGTTACCAGAAGCAGCAGCACGAAGGAGAGCGTCGCGGTCAGCCGGTGTCTTGGCAACAGGCTTGCAGAAGCAGAATGGGTCACCGGCCCATGAGTCGATGATGATGGACAGATGGTGAGCCGTGATTGTGCCAGAGACGGTAGGGCCACACTTCTTGACGGCCTCTACAGCCGCGGCAGTGGTGCAGTGCTCCAGAATGATGCGCAGCTTGGGGAACTTCTCGTGCAGCTCGAAGAGCTTAGGAAGGAACCGCTCCTCTGCAGACAACACGGTCACGTCACCTCCAGAAGGGCTCTCTCCGTGCAGGTTCAGGATCATTTCTTGACGCTCCATCTCAGCGAAAACGGGGTAGAACTGTGTGTAATCGACAACGCCCGAGGAAGAGTTGGTTGTCACGCCGGCGGGGTAGCTCTTGACACCAGTGATGCCACGCTGCTTGGATTCAATGATGGTCTCGGGGGTCACGGTCTCGTGGAGGTAAAGAGACATCAAGAAGTTGACATTCGGCTCGAGGGCCTGCAGGCGTTGCTTGTATTCGAGGGCTCGGTCGACGGTCGTGATAGGCGGCACCAGGTTGGGCTACTCATTACGTTAGATATTGAAAATGATATATTCTGTTCTCTTTCATATGGCTCACCATGACAAACACAGTGTTGACACCACCCTGTCGGATGGTGGGAGTCACCAGTTCCATCATTGGGCCATCACGAAGGTGGACTATATTGAGTCAGCGCTGTCAATTCGTAAGCCTTCCCTGAGATCAGTACCGTGGAAGTCGGCCGAAGCAGGGAGCTTGACACCCTGCAGCTTGGATAAAGGCATTGTGTATTTGATTTGAGATTTGCAGATCAACAGTTGACTTCAATGTGCCAAAACTTTGCCCCGCCATTTCTGCCAGGCGGTGGCAACCCCAGTCCGCCTTCTGTGGGTTCATTGAGTACGGGGTACGGACTACTCCATACAATTCTGAGTCTCGATGCTGACACTACTCTTGACGTGTTGGTTTGAAAGGTTGTCATTTTGGAAATTCTGAGAACTAAATCTGCAGCTAGCACGAAAGTTGATCTGCAAGAATCCCCGCCCGCATCTCATACATCATATCGAGTACCCGGGGAGCATCGCTTTGTCAAGCCTCCAAAAGGTCCTGAGTACGCCGTATTTCGCACAAATATTGAACCCGTCTATGCACGTGCTGGGATAAGCACAACCAGGATGCTCCTGAAACAACGTTGCCGCTGGTGGCCATTCTGCTACAAGCCTGCAGCGCTTCCACGCTGCCTATCACAGGCCAGGATCGCCGGTCTAGGAAATTAGACTTCCAAAAACATGATGAGATTCTCATCCAGAACCACTCACTGGCTGTGTCCCCTCTCAGGGCCCTATAATTGGCACAGCCAGGCGCTTAGGCAGTGCTTATTCACCGAAGTGTCCGCCAAGTCTGCAAGCTAGCGCCCGCCAAGACATCTATTCTTCGGGGATGCACAAGTCAGAAGCAAAATTTCCATTTAGAATTCCGCACTGACAGCCCTAGGATTTAACTTCTTCGCCTGAGGCGAATCAGTACGGCTGGTATCGCACCGGGGTGTGCTGCATGGCTTGATGCAGTAATCCGAGCTGAACATCATCCTCGGGGTACACGCTCATTCGACGGTCACTTTTGTGATAGTATAGCGCTCGCCTAGCAGGTCCCTGAATTTACACCTACATTATGTCTCCACGAATATACATATTCCACCCGTTCTCCGTTGCTTACTTTCTGCGAAGTCTTTCAGAATAATCCACCTGTGTTTCTTTCTTCCCTTGGGGGGCTATTCGTTCTTTGACATCTATTTCTAGGAAGATCCTTGCTGGCAAGGTGGTCGAGTCACACACCCTCTTTCTTCCCCTCTTTGTCCTCGTGTCATATCTTACGACATTTCCTCTTTCACCATGACTTCAAACTCGTCTGTTGCGGGGTCGGGCCGTGCTTATTCGTCAGACATGGAAGAAGCGACTTTTCTGAAACGCAATCGTGCCATTCACTTCTCGAGAATTGCTCTTTCATTCCTGAATTTTTCCATTGCAATCGCCGTCGTTGCATGCGAGGCTCCACCACTGCGGCACTACAAGGACACGTCCCAATGGGCCCCTGCTGGGCTTGCCCTATGGCCTTTGAACTTCGACCTCCGCCCAACCATAGCGGCTATTTCTTGTGGAAGTATCATTACCGTGTTGAATCTGGTGTATATCGCTGCTGCTCTCATGCCATCCGTAAGCATGAACTTCCGTATTTTGTCTGTGACATACCTAATCCTGACCCAGCCCCACCCCCGTATCAAGCAACTTAATATCTACGCCTCGGTCTCGGCCCTCGCAGGCTTCGTGACTGCGCTGGTAGCCGTGTTATTTATGATCTACCGTCCCTCCTCAAACCACCCAGCGGGGTTCAACACCAATGAGACACTCCACAGCTGGACCTGCAAGTGGAAAGCAGGTACAAACGGAACTGCTATTCCTCGTCACTTCGATCGCGACTGTATGAATACTCGTGCTGGCTTCATCTTGATTTGCATCTTGATTGGAATGGAGATGTTGATGGGAATCTTTGCTGCTGTTGGGACATGGTTCCAGCGCGATGTTTCGCGTCGTCGGGAGCAACAGTTCCAGTTGGAAAAGCTTGAGATTGCTTCCAAACATGCTTATCACCAGTGATTCATTTTACTGAGACTACCTAGGTATTGGTGTTAAGTGCGTGTTCCTATCTGTAGTATAGTATGTCATTGGTGGCTGGCCTGTATACGCTTCTCGAATTAGTTGCTCTATTGAGAGATTGAGCTCAACAGAAAGAGAAAGACACTAGATCTTGAAATTCTACAACCCTGTGTGACGTACACCTTGATTCTCCCATGGGTCAGGGCTCTGTATGCTCGATCAAGCTTTCTTTGTTCCAACTTTCTTCTGCATAACCTGACTCTCAATTACTATGATTGGCTACAAACAATGCACAATGCCGACCTTGGGACCTTCCCATTGTTGGTTTCCAGGGCTATTGGACTGGCTCCGCTTCCTGAATAGGCTCTCGTTTCTACTCACTGTACAATAGCCATGCTCAAGACCCGGAGCTGCTTTACTTTTACATCGCTCATCCCAATAGCATCCATCACATCGAATTCATCTCACCACGCATTTCATTCCGGACTTACCATTCCGTTGCTTCCAACTCATTCCAACCCATTCAACCAGGCAGTCAAGCCACCGACCTACTCTCACCTCTTGCAAAGATATTACATCTTGCAAAGATGCCCACCAAAGCCTGGGTCCATGTGCACGCGGCGCACCCCAAAGATTATGCAGAGGCCCGCCATGCCACTCTTTTCTTCGAATTCCCCAACTACGCCCAAACCCTCATGCACATCGTCGGGAGGGCTGGCCTCTTCAAATTCGAAGTCCTTCGAGGATACGATCCGGGCTCGAGTACCACACTCGCCCGTCGAATATTCGTGGCGGAGATCGCCGACTCATTCACGCCCCGCGACATCTTCAATATTGTCGCCTGGACGCTCGTCAATAACGCCCCCGACGAGCTGTACTGGGACTGTCACGAATGGGTGTGCGACGTCCTTACGCGCCTGGAGAAGAATGGGGCGGTCAGTGCCCCACAACGAGACAGGGCCATCGACGGGATGGTTTACTCATGCCTGGAGGCTGAGGATGAGGGGATAGGCCTGCTTCGAAAGAAAGGCCTAGTTGGAGGGGGAAGTTACTCCTGTTTTTCAGTTCTGGAAATTTGAGACCTTGATAAAACATGCTGCTTTGCCGGTATCCTGCTTCAAGATCTATAGCATCTCGGATCTCGAAAGCCGTTTGACTTGTACCCTTTTAAATTGTATCTGGTATCACTTGGAAGGCACGATCTACCCAGTGCAATCAGGATAGCCATGACTACTATTTACCGAAAAGGCTCTCTTTTCTCGGATATTCTTTAATTGTGTGTGAGCTGCATTCCATCTAGACTGTCCTCTTATGCTATCTCAGATAGCTATCCCCAATCCCAATCCCACTAATGCTAACCAGCTACCAGCAACATTCATAGATGCGGCACCCTCCGACGAAGTCGATTTCTCATGTTCGTTCAGCGACTTAGTTGCCCCGGTAGCGACGGACGAGCTGGCTCCGGATGTAGGATCGGCATCTATGCTGGTCGGTTGAGCTGCGTTGGAGCCTGGCCGTGTCCATGAGGGCGCCACGGTCGTCTCTCCCTGGTCGAATGCATTTGCTGTTGCGCAATTCCCCACACTGAGCGATCTGGCGGATGCACCTGCTTCGTCATCCTCTGAGCAATTCACATAGCAGCTGTTCAATTGAAGGTTAGTTTTGGACAATCCCAGGAGATCAGTGCTGTCCGATGTGTGCTGGTTACTCACTTTGCGATGTTAGCAGCGCCAGAACATTTGCAATCCCAGTCATCCGTCCGACATTTCTGAAGCCCTTTTTTCATCACGCCGACACATGAGTCTACAAGTCTGTTCTCGGTCAGCATGGGTTGTCATTTTCAACGCCAGTGCCCTTACTTTTGAGATGCGCATCCAGAGCTACTGATATCTGTTGTTGCTGGCGCATCTTGAGCGAAGACGATTGTAGCCGAGGCGGCAAGCAGAAGAGTGGTGATAAAACGCATCTGGGTGGATCGATTCGACTTTGGTCAATTGAAGGGCTGCAGGTCGTGAGAGTATGTGTGCTTGGGTGGTTTGAGGTCTCGAGTTCAACTTGGGGTCCCTGGGCAACTTATGATCCTTGGGACCTTGGGACTTGTAGGTTACATTGGTTGGCAGGGTACAATAGAGGCATCTAAGCCTCTCCCAGGGAACTTGCGTCTATTCCCGGCAGTGGGGCCTTGACAGGTGCACATGGAGAAGTACTCCGGGGTCCACCGAGTCCGCTACTCTGCAGAAGCCGTCCAAAGTTCAGTTCAGGGGAAAATTTCAACACTGTCCAAATCAAGTGAATAAAATAAAATCTGTCGACTTTACTGTCGAACCCCAAGTATAGTCTTACCCGAGTTTGGGCAGCTCAGCGACATTGGGAAAAAAAAAAAAAAAAAAAAAAAAGGAACAGGGGGAACTGTATGGCACAACTTAATTCATCGTCCAAAACCGCCCCTG